ACGCAGTATTCCAGATGGGGCCTCACAAGAGCAGAGTAGAGGGGAACAGTCACCTCCCTGTCCCTGCTGGCTTCTGATGGAGCCCAGGATACCATTTGCTTTCCGAGCTGCAAGGGCACACTGCTGGCTCATGTTAAGTTTTTCATCCATCAGGATGATTACACTGCCACATTGTTTTGTTTGACACTGCCCGTAACTTTCAGCAGCTTTAACAACTTCATCTTTAACACATCAATGCAAATGGGATGTTTGGCAGCTGGTTTCTAGCTGTTTTCTTTGGCCACTGGACAGGGGAGAACAGCTCTGCAGGGTACCCAAGCCCACCCTTTTCAGTGCAGTGTGTGGGCAGATGGCTCTGGAGGCCCATTGGGCAGTGTTTCTTTCAGGAGAGGGGTGGATCAGAGCTTTGTGCACAACGAGGCATAGCACAGCTGATAAATGAAAGGGAGACTTTGGCAGAGCCCCTGGGCTGTGAGCATCCTGCCCGGAGCCACCAACTGCATCCTGCCAGGTCAGGCATGATGTGCAGGTGACAGTGCTAATTGTGGGCCTCACCCAGGGACACAGGAGGATGGCCACCCTTCTCTTAGGAGTCCACAAACAGCCATTCAGCATTTATCCTTTGCTGTTATACCTTGCTGGAAGGCTGGTTTGCATCAGAATTCACCCAGTAGGTGGGTGGAGATTTTAACACCATGCAAAATAAGGGCTTTATTTAAAGGAAATAGTTGCACATATCTAACGAAACAAGTGGTAGCAGTGTTATTTTGGTATGTGTGTGACTAACAAATGCTATCTTGGGCCAAAGCTGTGGGCTCTGCTGTTACAGTGGTGTTTTCTGGAGGCTCTTCTATCCAACATGTGATGTGGGTGAGATCCAAGCTGGAGCTGTGCAAATGCAAGCATAGAACTGAATGTTGGGCCGTTGCTGCAGGCAACCCTGTCACAGGGAAAGGACAACTGGAAATTGCCCCATTTTGATCAAAAGTAAGACTGGTGCTATTTGGAGTTGTTACAGTCTCACAAATAGATTTTGAATGAGAGTAAAGATACTCAGTGATCCTTATGGTTTCCTACCAGCTGGGAATACTCTGTGATTCTTTGATAAAACTGGACTAGGGCAATCAACAGCAAATACAGGACAAAGCCTTCTGTTGGCCAGTGATACAATAACTAATCCAGAATTTTGCCTTCTTCTTTATTTTCCTGTCTAGAACTCTTTTATTAATCTAATGGAAAAAAAAAAGAAGAGCTATTTAGTTTGCCGACATGAAAATACCACACTTGATTATGCATTTCATTGTCTGATGAAAGAAACATTAGCATTAGAGATAATTACGTGCCATAAGAGTTCATCTCATTATCAGCAGCAGCTGAGTTTGCAGGCAGCTTCAAAGACTCTTTCTTCTCAGAAATCCTCATCTGTACTGAATTTTTCAGCTTCGTTATAGAGAAGTCTAGAAATGGTGGCTGCTTTTTAATGCCTAATTGTTTAACATGGGATATGAGCTGCATCTCATCTCCTCGATCCATTTCTTCTGTAGTAGACCAGCACAGCGACTGCACGCACACATACCTGTATATTTACATCTATTCCATCTGTTTAGATGGCAGTTCAATAGGATTCTGTTAACGCAAAGTTCTGTTACTCCTGAAGTGATTTTCTCTCGGGGGTATGTTGGAGATTTTCCATCTTTGTCACAGATTTTCATAAAATTCTTTATAGGGTTTTGGATCCAGGCTGGATGTGGCTCTGGGCAGCCTGGTCTGCTGGTTGGTGACCCTGCACATAGCAGGGGGTTGAAACTATGTGATCGTTGTGGTCCTTTTCAACCCAGGCCATTCTGTTATTCTATAATTCAGACATTGAGCTGCAGCATAGCAGCAAAGCCTTTTGTTTTAATGATCATAAAATTACATATTGTTTCCTTCAACCTCAGCAGTACAGAAACGTGAATAAAACAGGTACCACAATAATGCTACGAGGTGAGCTTTTAAATGGCAAACATTGAAAAGTCTAACACACAATTTAATCCAATACCTTCCAAAACAATGATGATTTTCTCTCCACCTCTGTGTGGAAATAGTCACAGAAAAGGTGAAGTTGAAGTGTGTCAGGGTGTGCCTTGCTTTGAGTTCTTCTGTGTTAAGATCCCAGGAGGCAGAGACTGTTCTAGGGATCAAAGTGCTCCCAGTAAAGTTTCTGGAGCCACAGACACTCATCATCTATAAAAACTCATGTCAAGTTTCCCAAGAGGAGGCTCACCATCATGGGCTGTTCTTATAAAATGCACGCTGTCTGCAAGGAACTTTACAGCCTGTGCCGTCACACATTTACAATAGTTTTCATGGGATGTCAGCAATGTTACTTCTGTGGTCTCCTTTCATCCACATCTTCCTGTGCCCTTTAGCTGTCCTCTCCACTTGTATGGCAGCCCTGTCAGCTTCCCTTATGCCTGGTAATAACACTTTTGGCAAAGATTGTTAATCCTGGAAATCGTTTGTAGACTTGCTGATACATTAGCACACAGTGAACGCTTTCCAGCAGTAAGAATTTAAGATCTAATGGTGTTTTTCTCCCTTTTAGTGGTTTTATATTTGCATCAATTACAGCTACCATCCACCTCAAACCCCTGAGTGCTCAGGAAACATTTGTACACCCGTAAAAATGCAGAAGATCAGAGCGTCTTCCCAAAACTATTCATCTCTATCTGCAAGCAAAAACTATCCTTTTAGTCCTTCAGCAAATGGCACACGCTCCAATCTCACTAAAATCAGCAGTGCTGAGGGCATCCCAAACACTGGGGTCATTCTCCTTGCCCCTCCCTGTGGCATGCCTACGTGCAGCAGTGCCTGAAACACCCATCTCCATTGCATTTCTGATAACTGCTTGGTTGGCAGAGCTCTAATGAAACACATATCCTCGGTGGGCAGCTGCAATTCCAAAAGACAGCTCCATGATCAGCAGTTACTGCCGAGCTTTATCATTTACATTCCCAAAACACAAAGTATTCTCTATAAATGTTGTTTGTGAGGCAGGATGGGGACACTGAGAAGTAATGAACACCCTTTGAGGTCAATGCAAGACAGGATATAAACCTTCCCAAGGGTTCATTCAACCAGTGCTCGTGGTTCTGCAGGCATTTGATTGCAGAAGTGTTGGAGCACCAAGGGAGTTGTACTAATACACTTTGCCCTGGGTTGTGAGTGAGGACCAGTGGAGGCTGTGTTTGCACCAGTGCAAAGCCTTGGAACAGAGGTGTGCAGAAATCTCTGGTAGAACCATGAAAGCTCACACTAAGAAGGCAAACTGAATTTGCCTTGGAGATGCCTTGTCATCTTTTGAAGTTTTGTTTGGATGGCTCAGGGTTTCCTGCTTATTAGAAGCTATCTGTCTGCTCCTTTTTGATGGACTTGAGTCCCCTGTGGGCTCATTGGTTATTTACACAGATCTCTGGGAGCACAAGAAGTGAACCCAACTCAGAGGGCACATAGGTGCCCATAGCCCACTTCAAAATCTGAAGCTCTGTCCAGCTTTAGTTTTTACGCCTTTAAATCTGCTCTGATTTATGCTGGCATAAAAGAATCTTCCTTTGTTTGCTGACAAACACATAGATGTAATAAGAAACACAGATGTTGTAATGAATTTTCTCATTGGATGTGGATGTTTGTTCTTAAATGGATAATGAGTACAGCTTAAATGATCTGTTTGATCACAACTCAGAACTGCCCTAAGAACACAACCTAAAATACAGCTGGGGTAGATATGTGTGTCAAACAAAAGCAGGATGCTCACAGGACAAATGATCTGCTGCTCATACTGATTCTCAGCACAAGAGAAAAATAATCTTTCCCCTCAAAGGTTGCTGAAAACAAATCTAGTTTGTAGGAAGGCATTGCTGGGAGCCCTACAGAAAGTGTGCTGAAGCTCACGGGATATACCCCCCGTTTCTTTTTGCCTCTCCTGCTAGTTTTGTTCTAACTGCTGGCTGAGACAGAATCATCAGAATGAAGCAAAAGTATGCGTTCAAGCTCTTGAGCCATTTGCCATGAGATAGAGGTAATCCTGAGATTCACAGAAGCATTAAAATAGCAACAAGAAAGTGACACCAGTGCTGAAGATCGTTTTAGAAGTAAGGAAATAGATGGGAGGTTAATAGAACTCTCTCATCTTGCAAATACACCTCCCTGGACAATGGCTCAGACAGTTCAAGCAGCCAAACAATTCACAGAGTTTTAATCCCCTATTATAAATAAGGGTGAGATATATGCTTTTAGCCTGGGAAAGGTGATAAAAATATATATAGGTTTACTGTAAAGATGAGATTTCTGCCTGCTTCTCTTCTGATCGTTAGTAATTATTCTTTTTTACAGCCTCTGGCCTCTCCTCTTCTCCATCTACCCCAACACAAGTGACCAAGCAGCCCACGTTTCCTCTTGAATCCTATAAGCATGAGCCTGAGAGACTAGAAACACGGATTCACTGTTCTTCTCCTCCGGACACAGGGCAGAGATTTTCTTTGCCTCCATCCCAAAGTGCAGCCAAGCCTCCTATAATGACACCATCTCCCTGTGCTACCTCAAAACCAGTAAGTAGAGCTTGTGTCCACTTCTCCACCGGGAAATGTACAGTGGTGTGTGTAAAGTTGTTTCTCATACTACGAGCTAGAGCTGGTGCATCCATCCTGTGGAACGGAATGAGAGCAATTTCATGTGCCTTACACCCCAGGCTTGTTTCAGCTCTCAGCATTCAGCTGGCAAGGCATTAGGAATCCAGAGGTGGGAGCTCTTCTTGTGAGTTAACCAAATAGCAATCAGTTCTTGCATTGAGCTCAAATGAGCTTTGCAGTGGCTACACAGTTCTGCACGCATTGCTGAGATGCCACTTTAGAGAAGGATACAATTTTATTTAGGACTGTCTTTTATCTCCCTTGAAAGGAGCAGATGAGAAGGCTAGCAGCCAAGGAGAGCAGATCAAAAAGAAATTCACAGCGTGAGCTGCAGGGTTTTGAGTTCCTGCTGCCTCAGGAGTCTGAGATCACTGGGACAACTGCTGTCTAATGGCACCGGTTGCTGTGACGCTGTCTGCCCCAGCTCACAGTACAGAAGGGTGGAACTACCTGGGTATTTAAGCAGACCCCAGGTAGTAGCAGTGTCTTTGTAGGAGTGGTTTCTTTAGCTCCTGGGAATGCAGGAACTCAGCAGTTCCAGGAAAATGTGAATTCCAACCTCTGATATTCTCCTCTGCAACATCTGCACTGCATGTCTTTGCCTTCCCCCCCTCCTCTGGCTAGCTTCAGCCTCACAGTAATCACTGTTCTCTTCTTCTGTGCTCCTCTGCCTTCTGGATATGCTAAGCCAGCAGTCCCACATTTCTTCCTTTATGTCCAGCACCTCCACAGGAGTGGCTGCAGCCATTACACCGTATGTGTCTGGGTGCTGTGACCATTTGCTCTTATAAATAATAGACATTTTCACTCATTGCTCATTATGTCCTATTGTATCCAAAGCCAGCTTTGTTATTCTAGACTAAGGAAGCCAGACTCCTTTCAAAATAAACACCTTCCTGTTCTTCCACTAGGCAAAAGAATTAAAAATATTGAATAATACCAATCTTACACTCATATTTAGAAACTCCAGCAGTAACCTTTCTCCTTTCCATGTAAGGAGCAGGCTTGGGATGCACAAGTTATGAAATTCAGGGGCTTGCAGGACACAGGAATGCTTGTGGTAGGCTTCAGTCTGTTGGTCATATCCTTGGCGTCTGAATATGGTTTCTGTTCAGCTGCTACCCAGGGGTCTGTTGTATCTGCTAGAACAGTGACAGATCTTATTTTTTATTTGTTTTTAATGATTTGCTGCTTGGGACAATAAAAAAACAGAATTCTTGGCAAGTATTTATCAGCTGTTGTGGTTCTGTGTCTGTACAAGATAGATGGAAACTCAATATATTGTACTCAATTATCTCCTATTCAACAGATGCAGAAAAACATATATAAGATACATAGGATGTACAACACCTGACTTTCTTTGTTTTGTACACTTTGCTTTTGTACTCTTTGTTTTATATCTATCTCATTTATAAGAGTGAGTGTGCAGGGCGGCAGTGAATCGTTAAGTTTTCATTTCACCAAGTTATTTCCCTTCGTGTTCCCTTATAAATGTGACAACACCCTGAATACTGCATTTCAGACATTTCAGTTATTCTGAGTCATGGGTTAAATACTTATTTTCCCGGTGAAGATGTCATAAACAGATCGAGGTCCATTCCTTGCTTACATAGATCGCTCTTTCTTGGCATGATTCCCAAAATCTTAAAAGCATTATAAATTATAGGATGAGTGGTTTCACAGTGGACACTGTGAGATGTTCAGTTTAATGACAGAGCAGCTCTTATGTTGACAATTGAAAGGAGAGGTTGACTCTTATCTACAAGGGCTCTGTCAACTCAAATCTCATTACATTGTTTAATTAGTGATGATAATGTGTGTGATCCTAAAACTATTATCAATGATTCATGACCGTGGAATACACTGCAATAGCAAAGAGGAACTCTTAGAGCCAGAGCTGGAAGTACTGCTGAAAAAAACCCAACAAATGAACCAATGGATGAGTATAGGAATGTGTAGCACCAGGGCTTGGAACTCAGCCCATTTTTACATTCACCTGCATTTGAAGCTGATTGTGTATTTGCTTTTTATACGTCTGAGACTGTGGCACAGAATGGTTAAATATGCTAAAAAACAGAGAAGAATTAAGATATTTGTTTCCCAGCAGATGTAATCAGCACTTTTGTGCTTTGGTAGCACTCAGTGCGTATCTGGCTATGATTTTTAACCCTTCTATTCTGATAAGGGGAATAAAAAGCAGGAGACAGTCCCTGACAGAGGGAGACACTGCTTCTACAGGGAGCATCTCAGCGCAGTGCATGGAGCTCAGCAGATAACCTAAATGTGCCTGCGATAATCACTCAGGCCTGGATTTATCCTGCCTAACTTTAGAAACCTATCTGAGCTGCTTACGTTGGTTGTCTCTGTATCTCAGAGAGGATAAATCAGTTCTTCAGAGGGTTGGTCAGCACTCTGCCCCACTCACAACTGAGGGACTCTGGGTGCTGCTTTTCTGACCACTGTGTTTCTGCTGAGGGCCCAGAGCAGATGTGTGAGGTGGGACAGGCCATGGCAGCAGCTCTCATGGGCGTCCCAATGGCTGTGCAGGTGTTCCTGGTGGTTGGGTTTAGGAGCTTAGAATGAGAAATCAGCTGATAAGAGATCAAAGCTACTCCAAAAGATTAGCGTGCCCCACATGAAATAGGGAAGGAGCGACTCGATTTTTTGCTGCACAGTTCATGACTTTGTACTTCGGCCTTGTGTTGTTTGGACTGTGTAACCTTCAGGCTGTTAAGTGGTGAATGATAACTCCCCTCTAATGCGACATTACTAACCATGAAAGGAATGCAGAGAGGTTGCAAATTCAGTAACCAACACGTTTTCCCTGTTTCCGCTTTGCCCTGTTTTGAAGAGGAATGCAGTGTGTTGAGCTCAGTGTGTTTGTATCCTCAGTATCACAGAATGGCCTGGGTTGGAAGGGACCTCAAGGATCATGAAGCTCCAACCCTCCTGCCACATGCAGGGCCACCAACCTCCACATCTAATACTAGACCAGGCTGCCCAGGGCCCCATCCAACCTGGCCTTGAACACCTCCAGGGATGGAGCATCCACAGCTTCTCTGGGCAGCTGTTCCAGCACCTCACCACTCTCATAGTAATGAACACAAGTATGAGAATCACTGAATCATTTCATGGCAAAACTACCATCAACCATCTTCAGCCATTCCCTCCACACCCCCTCCTCCAAACTACGTGAGCTCAGCAAGGGCTCTATGTCAGAATATCAAAACAATCATTTGCTTTTTGCTTCGTGGTTTGCTTGTTTGTTTTCACATCCAAGTACTTACTTGCATTTTCCAGTGTATCATATGTACAGAAACCCTTCAAGTGAACATAAATCTCAGAGTCTGAGCAAGTCCTCACCCCCTGACCGGCCCTGTGAAATCTGACAGCCCATTTGCACCAGTATTTTCACGTGGCAGATCCAATTCCGTGCTAGAAAGCTGCCTTGTTTCATACCTGCAGTCCCCATAAAACACAATGCTCAGCTGCTGTGAAGACTTCAGCTTCCTTCAGTAGTTAATACCATGAACAGCCATGCCTATGCTCAAACCCACCTAAGTGAATGGAGCCACTGAAAGGTTCCAATGGAGCTCTGAAAGGTTTTCAAGTTAAATAGGGACTTACAATCCTAAGAGGGCTCCATCCCAACAAGCTCCTCCATCTATATACTCAGAGTATATCCAAAGTAAGCATTCATCTCTGAATAAACACCTTCCCACTTTGTCCTCTCTTCTTCCACTGACACGTAAGGCACCATGAAAATAGCAGTATTCTGCCTCCTGCAAACACATGCATTTTTGTGGTACATCATTTCCTGGCCTTTATGAGTTTCCTCTTTCTCTGCATGAGGAATCATGGCCAGAGTAAGATGCCCGCTCCAAACTGAGCTCTCTTGTGGTGAAAACAGGAGCAGGGCTCCCTGTGCTCAGAAGGGACAAAAGCAGAACATACTTCCAAATAGCCTCTTCCACATGGTGAACCACTGCTCTCTAACCAACTTCCGAGCCTAATAATTTCCCAGAAATTTCTTAAGAAGAGAGCATCTCATGCAGAAGACAGCCTGACACATACAACGAGCTTGTGTCAGCACATCCTCTTCAAGCCACACATGTAGGACGCAGGAGAAACTGGAAGATACAGTTGGCATCCATTTTACAAGTCAGTGCTGCTCAGCTCCTGGAACAGTCTGCAGCCAGGCCTCTCCCTTCCAGTGGCAGAAACATAGAGGTAAAGAGAAAATGGTTTCTGCAGCTACCTGCTTGTTCAGCAGCAGCATTTCCCTGCGAGGCTATTCGTGCTGTTTCTCAGCCAGAATGTAGTAAACTCAAAAACAGGGCTGTTAACTTGTTTGGCGTGAAAGACTCTTACATCACACCCTGCTGCTGGCAGGCAGCCTGGGAACCAGGATATGTGCAGCAGGTCCTCCCATCTGGCTCTCTCCAAAAAGCCATGGCACCTATCAGAGCGCCGTGATCAGCCTGGCTGATAAAAGAGATTTAAATCTGATGAACAGAACTGAAAATGCTCTTTGATTCTGATGATGTCTTAAAAAAAAACAAACCAAAAAAACCCAAAAAGAAACAACAACAAAAAACCCCACAGGCTGGGAGAAATGGAATCCAGTCTGCAAATGTGCAACAACTCTCTCTTTCAGCATTCGTGTGGTTTAAGGAAGTAAATGAGTGCCAAGGCATTACTCTGATTCAGCTTTGATTTATACCACAGTAAACTGATCGTGGAACCCAGAGCCAGCAAGGCTGTCATTTACCAGTGAGAAAGCTCTGGCAGTGTTGCTGTGTTCAGACTAGTTCTAAGAGCTTTAATACCAGCACTCCTTCTGGGAGATGTTCTCTAGTAGATCCTCTGGGCTCCAACAAGCCAGCTGGGTTGCAACATTCTCCCTAATGCAACTGCTG